ATCTTTTCAATAAACAAACACTTGTAAGCGAATAAAATAGATTTAAAATAAAATTTACAATATTTTTGGCATTGAATCGATCAATAATCAACATCATTTTATCAAAAGTAAAAATAGATTCAAAATAAAAATAGACCATTAGTTTTGGAAACCTCTCCAATTAGCAATTAGTAGAACACATTTTAAACAAAACGATTAAGATATAAGTAAATTAAATTTAGAAAAAAACGATTTGGCAAGCTTCTAGTAGTGAAACAAACAAGGAATAATTACCTACGATTGTTTTTTTTCTTTTTACAATAACAACAAACCCACATTTTAAAAAATATCACGTGAGCTGGGGGGATGGGGGAGGGGGTTGAATAAAATCTCACGATATCTCACCAGGGGGGAAGGGAGTTACAGAAAATAAAAAAAAAATGGTTGCCTGTAAAGTCGGTTTTACGGGCGAAGATTTTACGTGACAACGTCTTTTTCTCGGTAGAATATTTATTGATATGAATATAATTAAATTGCACAATAGGAACAAGGAATTGAATGAAAATAAGAATTGCACAAATTTTAACTATAGAAATATATTTTGTTTACTAAAACATTGTACATGTAAACTTAAACTTAACACGAGAGACTCATCGTAACGTTACCGAGCGTTACACTTTTTCATAAGTGACTCCCAGCCGCAACCTAATTTAAGACGTTGTCACGTCAAAACACCTCACATAATTTATGGACGCTCCCTTAGGTAACCGGTACCGCGCATCTATAGGTAATCTTTATGCCCAGTATGTTTCATTAAAAATAATAAATCTCGGTTTCGTTTTATTGCATAGAGATGCAATGAAATTTAATTACTTCAACCAACATGGCTTTTAAATTTAGACACAAACATAATTAATTTCATTCATACTGGAGCTCACATCTTATTTTCGTCTTATGGCAGTTTTCTTATCTTAAAAGTACCTAAATAAGAAAACTCTGACCATAAGACGAAAATATCGTCCGTAAACCGTCTTCACGGACAACCAATCTCTTATCTATTAGACAAGTCTGTCTGTCCGTCCGTCTGTGGTGCTGTTTCAGCGGCCAAACCGCAAGAGATAGATAAAGAGAATATTTAAGTTATAAGTGAAGAATACTCTGATAACGATTTGAGTAACGTAGCACTTCCGGTTTTCGAGAAATCACGAATTTCAAACGAAACCACACAAAATCTCCGAAGTTCTCAATTAATTAACCCTTAAATGCATGATTTTTTATATTTAATGGAAAAAAATATATTTTATTCAGGCTAATGGATATTTTTATGGAAAAATAGTAAAAAAAATCAAAATAAGTATTTTAAATACATTTTTTTTTTCTTTTTTTAAATCAGGTTTTGGTGAACATTTGATTCACTGCTTTGCTAGTCTTTATATATATAATTCTTCTGTGAGTGTGTATGTCACTGAACTTCTCTTAAACGACTGGACCGATTTTGATGAAATTTTTTGTGTGTGTTCAAGGGGATCTGAGAATGGTTTAGATTCACAAAGACGTGTAGACAGGACAACGTCTGTCGGGTCCGCTAGTTTCTTATAATATGTTTGTAGTGACTAATCACTAAATGCTATAAAGAAATTTTCGAATCCACCTTTTAATGTATTTTTCGAAACTGTACGAACACACCGCTTGTTTTTAAACGAGATGGTTTTTCTTCTCCCTTTATTATACATGTAGGTTAGTATTTGCGTACGTTGCGAGTTGCGACAGCTTAGTTTAATTTAGTTTTTCAGAGTGGTTTCCGCACATAGTCCTGATTATTGGACCATTGTGCGTGTCTCGAAACATTCCCGTTTACTCCAGCCAGCCTATATTAGTCCAGAAGGAAAGCAGCCTTGGTAGACTGCTGCAAGCTTTCGGAAGCGATTCTGGCGACTGGAGAAGCCGTGCCTGTTGGTCGGCCACACTCCGGCATTCCATGATGACATGCTCATGTCTGTTACTCCTATTGTATATACATATGTGTTTGTTTAGGGGACAATGACCAGTCAGGGTTCCTATAATCTTGCGAAGTTGTTCCCTATTTAGTCTGGTAAGGATGCTGGCTTAGTATATAATGTACTCCATGGTGCGGGCAAATCTCTTGTTTGCCGCCGGAACTGCGTTTTTCGTTTGTCGGCATCCTTGACCTTGTTGAGTTGCGACAGCTATTTACCGACATCGGAAAATACCGTAATCACATGAAATCTTGTAACTGTGAGACAATAACGTCAGGTACAGTGTGAATACCGGTTATTTACAGTGGAATTTTATCTTGTTTATCGTTTTATTCAAGGGAATAATTCATTATTTTCTCGAAAGAACATAAACGTGCGCCAGGTCTTAATTTATTGCGCATTTACAATGTTGTACTGGAAATTTAAGGTCAGAGTTTTTTTATCAGACTCTTATGATAAGAAAATTCTGTCTTACATGGTCTGACCATAAGACGAAAATAAGAAGTGAGCTTCATTATGAATTAAATTAATTATTAAATGTTTGTGTGAAAAGCCATGTTGGTTGAAGTAATTAAGAAATGAAACTGAAATTTATTTATTTTTAATGTAACATAATGATTATCGATAGAATAGTGGTACCGGTTACCTAACACACACCCTCTTCCTACAACATTTATTATAAAAAAGGGGTAAATAGCACTACGATTTCTTTCAAGATCACAGATACATCGTTACATAACGTGCTGCTGTTAATGACCACTACCTTCCTTAGAATATAAATAATTAGTTCCGTACATGGCCAATACGAATATACCTTCGTTACCTTCCCATCCTCCCTCCCATCGTACCACAGTCCCCCCCCCCCCCTCCACCATATGCAAACTCCCTTTTCAATGATGCTGCTTTCCTCACACCTGTTCACACTTATCCTTTCATCACCTAGTTCTTGCAAAATCTGAACTCAAGTCTGTACAGTACATAGAACTTTATTCAGAAAACAGGATATAATTTAAAAAATTTAACATCTTTAAACATATACACGTACAAAACAAAGTTCTATGAAAAAAATATTTTTAGTTATATTTTTTTATTTTTTATGCATGTAACTGCTAGATGTTTAAATCTTTTTGCTTTAGATTTAAAAATATTTTATTAAATCTTTTTAAAAAACTCTCCATCAACCTCTATACAAAGTTTCATGCGTCTGATCCAATTTTCAAAAACCTTTTTTTAAAATCCTCCGCAGACACCTCTTCCACGGCCTTCTCAAACGCTGCTAGCGCTTCTTCCGGCGATCAAAACTGTAGCCCTTTGAGCTATACCATTCGGCGTTGATGCTGCTTTCATCTCGAAGTGGAATTGAAATTAGGTACCCCGTCAAAGTAAAGAAACTAGCGATCAAAATTTTCCCTGCGCTTTGTTTCTGGATCGTATTGATAAATCCAGGATTCGTCACCTGACACAATATCGTAAACGTGCCGTGGCGAGCCTGTATCAAATTTTGTATCATACCACTGCACAAATCCACACAGGCCTGCTTCTGAGCTTCGGTGAGCTTGTGCGGCACCCAGCGGGAAATTATCCTCCGTACGCAAAGGTGCTCGTTCAAAATCTTGTGAACACTCCTAGACCAATCCGCAGAGTATGCTGAATGTCTTCGTATATAATTCGTCTGTTTTCTTCAATTAATTTTTAATGCTAGCACACTTTCTTCGGTGACAGCCGTCGTAGGACGACCACTCCTTTGTTCATCCCCCAAAGTAAGACGACCGCGTTTGAACTCGCTACACCAGTGGTAGATGGTTGCTTTTGAAGGTCCTTCATCCATAAAAGCAGTTCGAAATCGATCAAACGACTTATCAGGTTTTAAGCCACACTAAAAATCGTAAAAAATCATAGCACGAAAATGTTGTCGATGCAGATCCATTTTTTAATGAGACAAGAAAAAAATAATTGGCTCTCAATAACAGATAACAAACATGATGTCGAGTCTCACTTGGCAAATTTTAATGGTATCCATTCTAAAATCAACTTTACCTATGAGATGGAAGAAGACAGAAGTCTGGTCTTCTCTGGACGTGAAGATTCGGGTGAGGAATGACGGTTCGCTTGGTCATTCCATTTACCACAAACCTACACACACTGACCGGTATCCCAACGCCTCCTCGCATCACCACCCTAAACATCTTAACTCTGTAGTGACTTCACTGACGAACCGTGCATATGACCTGCATGATGAGGAACATCTTCAAGAAGAGTTGCAGCATGTACGACGATTCTTACAGAGTAATGGATACCAGGGACATTTTCCATCTAGACACAAACTAAGGGTACGGGTACGACCAGAGTGCACTCAGATTCAGATTCAGACTCAGAAAACAAGCGCGAGAAATAAACAGTGTAGTTAAAGCAGGATGGCCATAGTGGCAGCGGGCAACCTGCTTAAACTGCACTGTATATTTATGGAATACCATGGTAGTCAGACGATGTTAATATCAACAGGAGTACGAAAAAGCTCTCAACTGCGACGAACACAAACATTAATTGACAGATCTCATTAATGGCGGTAAATTGTCACATTTTGACAATAGTACCAACATAATAAACTTATATTTACCATAGACAACGAGAAACATGTTATTTTTGCATAAAAAAATGGCAGCACTTATCAAAATTGCTGTCAAAATTGACTCATAACCTACAAAAATATTAATTTTCAATTTTTTTTTTCTCGAGTACTATTCGTTTCCGCCTAGAAAGATTTCGTGTACGAGTTTTTAATAGTTAATACTTTGCGTGATACTTTCAGCTTGCAACTCAATTACATATAATGGAAAGCTGAGCCCAATTTATGCCAAACACTCCAAGAAACATTAGAATGAATCTCACTCACATTCTAATAAAAAAAATAACAAAGAAAACTGAAGAGAACGCTGTATGGGCATTGTTTCTTTTGCCTTCCGTAAAAAGGGAGAACTTAAAAAAAGGCCGTGACTGTCTGACTGACAGTGACAGACTCTGTCAGTGCCTGTGAGTGAACAATGGCAACACGATTCCACGTGATAATTAAATAAAATAAGTTTTATTAGAATAAGTAATTCAATGTTTGATTGAATTTCATCAAAATGTTAAACCCTAAGTATTTGGGAGATGACCTCCCAGGATTCGAAGATAGCGCTCAAACAGAGGCACCAAGTGTTAAAAAGAAGAAAAAGGGTTCTGGTGGTTTCCAGTCTATGGATTTTAGTTTTCCAGTTCTCAAAGGCATAACTAAAAGAGGGTATAAACAACCGACACCAATTCAAAGGAAGGTAGCTATTCAAAGATTTCATTTGTCCTCAATTTATTTAATACATTTTGAGGTTATTAAAACCCAAACACTGTATGCAATTGCATAAACTTTATAGCAGGTTATAAAAAATACCAATGAACAGTAGAGAAAACATATATTTCCTCCTAATTCATTATTATTCTGGCAACTGCAAAGTGACAAGCTATCTGGCATGATTCTCTAAAGCTAAACTTAAATTTGACAACAGTGTATCTTTGTCATTCTCTATGCAGAATGAAAAGGACAGACTGATATTAAATTTAGTTTTAAGTTTAGAGAATCCTGGTAGAATCGGCCCCTCTAGCTAAATACAGTGGATTTCACTTATTACAACCTTGGTTGTAGCAACCATTTACCTATAGTGACGTTAAATCTAAGCCCCTCCAATTTAAAGCATACTTTAGTACAAAATTCATGTGGCTATAACGACTTTGGATGTAATGCTGAGTTTGGGTGTAGCAACTTTTTTTAATGAATCATTTGTGACAAATTCCTAGAAATTCAATGCAGATATTGCCCATCGACTGGAGTCTGGCCCCAAAGACACAAAGATTTTTTTTCAAAAACATTTCTTATCTTTTGTTAACATTCACACTGGTGGCCAGCAAGTGTAAGGTATAAGAAGGCCAGTAAGATACCTTTACCTTTTGTTTATCAGTTAAGTAGGTAGGGAAGCCTGTACGTTTTGGAGTTTATTTTTTTATTTATGCTTCAGTTACAAAGTATATAGTACAAAGTATTAGATATTCTAAATATTAACTGGGTTTAGTAAACTTTTGAATAAGTATGGCTGCTAGACCCAGATCACTGTTAAAGAAAAGACAGAAATCATTTATAAATGAATATAAAGTATAAATGTGTTTGTGTCTGTGTCTCTTAACCTTTGCCTGTAACGACTTCCGGATATAACGATGAAAATAGAGAGGTCCCTTCAGAATCGTTTATCAATGTGCACATATCATTTGTAATATCAATGTGCACTATAAAGCTAGACAAGGAATGGGAGAAAATCCCACAAGGCTGTCGTCATTTCATACAAAATATATTGTGAAAGCATTTTGTGCAAAAATATATAAACTTCCTAAAACAAAAAGCATTTTGACTTTACACTGATTTATCTCTGCTAAAATTTTAATTTTTGTCAGGTTGGAGTCAAGTTTTATGTTAGTATTCTACTGTATAACTGAACTGAAGTCCGGCAGCTAAAGTAACTTGAGAGTGTAGGAGACCAATGATATATATTAGGCCCCTTATACCACTAACAGTAAGTCAAACCTAATAAATTTTTATCAAAACTATTACAGACCATACCATTGGCTTTAAATGGCAAAGATGTTGTTGCTATGGCGCGTACAGGATCCGGTAAAACTGCATGTTTTGTGCTACCAATTTTGGAAAAACTTTCTGCGCCTTCAAGCAAACCTTTGCCAGGGAAGAATTTCAGAGCTCTCATCTTATCTCCAACTAGGGAACTGGCTCTGCAGGTAACTCTCATCATTATTACATTTCATTAGTTTAGTATATGTAAAACCGTGGATAAAAAAACTCTCAGTAGACATTTTTGTTTGTAAAATTGCTACTTCCTTGTCTATAGTTGTTGCTAAAGAATTCACTGGGATGTATAACTAAACCTAAATAGTGTAATGCTAGAATAATTACCTGTCATACTTGTATTTTAACTTGAATTATATTGCTGTCATTAATTCACATAAAAACAGTATTTAATAATAAAGTTGAAGAGTGTGCACTGTGTTTAGCGGGGCATGGCGTGGTGTCCGCTCAGTATGTTTGTTTCATGTTATTGCAAGCTGTGCCTGCTCAATGCCCCACTTAACGCAGCGCATGTTCAAAATCCTAAATATATGAAGTGTTTTAAATAAAAATTTCCCAAGCTCAATATCTCAATTCAATTTCACTACAGATTTTTTTTGTTCTAATCAAGTTATTGTGTTTTTAGACTTTAAGGTTTGTTAGAGAATTAGGAAAATTCACTGGCCTCACGTCAGCTGCAATACTCGGCGGAGAATCTATTGAGCAGCAATTCAGTGTGATGTCCGGTACAGCACCGGATATTGTTGTTGCGACGCCGGGCCGATTCCTACACATATGTATTGAAATGAATTTGAAACTCGATAACATAAGTAAGTTTCTTTGTGTCTTAATTGTTGATTTTCTGAATTTTTACATTTTAAATTTAAAATATGTGCTGTATAAAAATATTATAAAACAATAAAATTGTGAATGCTCTGTACCTGCCATCTGTGGCTGAGATGATAGACTATTGTCTCCAATACTACTTGAGTCTGTTTAAGAAATATGTACAATTATTGTCTCACTACTCTCACTCACTATATGATTCATTATTTTCCAATATTTTTTACATTTTAAGTGAAACAATACGCATAATGCGTCAATTTCCGAATGCTTTAAAAATATTATGTAACAAACAAGCAATGCTTCAAATAAATTCAGTAAAATGTTATTAAACAAAAATCGTAATGCATCTGTATCGTAATTCGTTATCATATTGGGCTATTACAATGTATTTGTCATTAATATTGGTATCATAATATCATATATATCATATAGCGGTATCATTGCATCCCTAGTTCAAAGAATAAGCTTCGCATTTGTTATAATATGTAAGCACTCATGATATTTAATTTAAATATATTGTACATTATTCACAGAAATGATGGTATTTGATGAAGCAGATCGTTTATTTGAACTTGGATTTGGTGAGCAATTGCAAGAAATACTCGCTCGTTTACCTACAAACCGTCAGACATTACTTTTCTCTGCAACATTACCTAAAATGTTGGTGGAGTTCGCAAAAGCTGGTCTAATGGACCCAGTATTAATAAGGCTGGATGTTGATTGGAAACTGCCCTCGACGCTGTGGCTCGGGTGGTTACATGTCAGAGCAGAGTTAAAAACTGCAGCCTTACTATTGCTATTGGATAAAGTTCTAACTCCAGAAACACCACAAGCAGTAATTTTTGCAGCTACTAGGCACCATGTTGAATATATACATTTGGTAAGAAGTATTATTAATTTTGTTGTTTACAACATAATTTTCTTTTATTTTATGATTCTTTAGGAACTCATTAATGGTTATAACATTTATCTATTCATGTACTGAGATGCAGTTCAGAAGAATCAGTTTAATATAGTTGCAGTCTCTTAAAATCTTAGTCCAAAGAGGTATGATATAATCTGTTGCCATTCTAACTTTAATTTATAAATGCGATAATGAATTTATGTCACCACCACACAACTTCATTTTTTAAATTCAAATTAATTTGTTTGTTACACTTTTACATCCAAACCATTGACCGATAATGCTGAATTTCGGTATTGAGATAGATGGGACCCTATAATAACGCTATTAAATACCCTAGATATACCAACACAAACAAAATCATGCCCGAAACCTGTCCACAAGGTACATTGGACGATCCACGGAGCTCCATAAGATGATCGCGTATTCTAAACAGTATAAGGCATTATTTAAACATTGAGAATCACCTTTAAAGCATACTATATAAGATATTAATTAAAGCGCACGCGTAATTGAGTTATGACAGTCTGATATGTAAGCTCATAAAATTTTACGACATCGCTATGTGCAGAAGACTAAAGATCTTATTTCTTTGACTCTACGCGCAATTCTGAATGCGCTGTAAGTAATATAGCAGGTACGGCCCGCGAGGAAAAGAGACGGCTATATTATCGACCATGCATTTGAATATCACAAATATTTTCTATTAAATCAGTTTATAGTAAGTATTAAAACAAAATTTACTTCAAATGCGTTAAATTAACAAACATTGATTAGATACCTATCGAAAAAACGACATTTTACATTCTTTATGTATTTTTTTCGCCTGTTTTCAAGGAGCTCAGCGGCATGTTGACTTTTCAACAGTCCGCGCGTGACTGTGAATCAAGAAGTGCTTGAGTAGTGTTCAAGCACTTCTTGATTGGGACACATTTTGAGCGCTCGTGGTGTATCTAGGGTATTTAATATCGTTGCCCCAGAAACATTCATAAGATAGTTTTCTACAGGGATACTGACTTTTTCGTTCATTTTGGAACATTCATTTCTTCATCACTCCACGCAATTCAATTAAGATTCTTAAATGAGACAACACAGTATCTCTTATCTATTAGACAAGTCCGTCTGTCTGTGGTGCTGTTTTGAGCGGCCAAACCGTAAGAGATAGATAAAGAGAATATTTAAGTTATAAGTTAAGAATAGTCTGATAAGACTACAAACCAGATTTGAGTAACGTAGCACTTCCGGTTTTCGAGAAATCACGTGATTTCTATATCTTGGAAACGATAAGAGATAGTCTGGTTTTGGTGAACATTTGGTTCACTGGTTTGCTAGTAATATAATAATACTTATATGCAATGTTGCTACTTTTGGTATATGCTGATGTGTTTCTTGCGCCCATTTTTCTCATCACCTAAATGATGTCCAGAATTGACGGAAAGAAAAAGTATTGGATGATTCAAAAGAGCTTTCAATATGTCAATTTGAAAAAAGTATAATTTCATTTCGACGTTGATGGTGCAGGTGGATAGCGCCTTCGGCCAGCGTCGTGAAAGTTAAGCAACTTCCGCAATGGTCGGTCATTGAATGGGTGTTCAAAATTTATTATCTCTCTTTCCTGCTGCGGAAGGCACCTTAACCCGTTGATTCTGGCTGCATCTGCAGTCGTTAGCACCTTCTATAGGACCCGCGTGGTGGTTCATGGCCCGCACTTCCTATCCAATCCGAAGGGTAGGGAATTGTTCTCCTTTAAAAGTTTTATAAAAATGTCCGCGACAGCATAATTATTATGTCCATTTGTCAAGTTAGACTCTCTATATTGTTTTTCCTTAAATAGGAGAGATGACTAATTTTATTTCTTCGTTTTATCAGGTAGATTATCAAAAAGTATTGGACACGTATTTTTTCTTTTTTCCCCATAATATAAACATTGCAGAGATATATTGATTTGAAAAGTCGTTTGAGTACACTTTTAAGCGAATATTCACTAAAAAGTGACGTCACGAGCCCCTACTCCCAAATTTTGTCGCGCTATAACTTTGTCATTTTTTGGTTGATTTCCCAAAGAAAAAATACGTGTCCATTTTTTTGTACAACGAAGTAAATACTTATTATTCTAGTTTTAAAAATGAAGCAGTAAAAACCTTATTACAGTTGTAATATCAAGTGGGCTAAAAAAAGTAATAATTTTATTAGTTTTTTTAGCCCACTTGATAGTGTCCATTCTTTTTTGATCATCTAACTGACGGACTAAATAGAATTTCGTTTACCGTACCCCGTCATCACCCCTATTATCCACGTTCATTAATTGTTAGATGACACGAAATTCGCCGGGTCATCTAGTATCTCTTATCTATTAGACAAGTCCGTCCGTCCGTCCGTCCGTGGTGCTGTTTCGGCGGCCAAACCGTAAGAGATAGATATAGAGAATGTTTAAGTTATAAGTTAAGAATAGTCTGATAAGACTACAAACCGGATGTGAGTAACGTAGCACTTCCGGTTTTCGAGAAATCACGTGATTTCTATTTCAAACGAAACCACACAAAATCTCCGAAGTTCTGAATTAATTAAATACATTTTTTTTTTGGTGAACATTTGGTTCACCGGTTTGCTAGTACTTATATATTCTATCTGTCACCCTAGCATATGGGATGCATATGGAACACAAGCCTCACAATTTACTTTGGGGCTAGGCTAATCGTTCTGTCTGTCAGTGTAATATTATAAATATTCATTTATCGTCGGCCAGATCCTCCAGAAGGCCGGCATATCGTCGACGTACGCATACTCGGGGCTGGACCCGTCGGCCCGCAAGATATCCCTGGGCCGGTTCGTCAACAACAAGTGCTCGGTGCTGGTGGTCACCGACGTGGCGGCTCGCGGGCTGGACCTGCCCGCCCTCGACACTGTCATCAACTACCACTTTCCTACCAAGCCCAAGCTGTTCGTGCACAGAGTTGGTGAGTACCGGGAATAGGGGTGATGACGGGGTACGGTAAACGAAATTCTATTTAGTCCGTCAGTTGGATGATCAAAAAATAATGGACGCGTATTCTTTCTTTGGGCAATCGACCAAAAAATGACAAAGTTATAGCGCGTCAAAGTTTGGGAGTGGGGGCTCGTGACGTCACTTTTGAGTGAATTTTCACTTATAAGTGTACTCGAACGTGACGTCATGCGACTTTTCAAATCGATATATCTCTGCAATGTTTATATTATGTGAAAAAAGAAAAAATACGTGTCCAATAATTTTTCATAATCTACCTGATAAATGAAGAAAAAAAAATTAGTCATCATCCCTATTATATAAAACAAGTTTCAACGGTATAGATTAGTGATGTAACGAATGTAATTTTTTGAACATTTGCGAATGTGAATTTGGATGCGAATATCTGGTACCGACATTCGCGAATGCGAATGTATATATATATGTTTTTGCTCAAAATTGGTGCCAATTGTCTATGGCATGGTGGCAGTCTCGTTCGAATTGCCGAGTTGATATGAACTCATCCGACTGAAGTGTCATTCCGCTCGCGCCGGTCTTTTCGTAAACAAAACAAGTGAATTTTGAGGTTAGAGTTTGAATAGTGATTAATTAACATGAGTAAATCAAATTCTAGTGAAATATGGACTTATTTCACACTTTGCGATGCTGAACGAGCTGAATGCAAGCTGTGTAACAATGAATATTCAAGGAAAGGAAGAACTACAACTTCTTCGAATTGTTTTTTTTTATATTCATATTCGCAAAACATTCGCAGAGATTATGCGAATGTGAATGCGAATATTCAAAAATATGCGAATATTCGCGAATGCAGATGCGGATAATCGTTACATCACTAGTATAGATGCACTGATTTATTTATTTATGACATTTCATAATACCATTGAAACTTGTTTTATATAATAGTGGTGTGAATAAGGCACATATTTAAATAAAATCAGCAAAAAGTAGTAACTTAATCTAACCTTTACGTTAACAATTGTATTTATATATGTGAGAATTTCGGGACTTCCGGTTCGGCCTTCGTTGAGTGACGAATGCTGTTCTGTTCTCTTCAGTTTTTTTATAAAAATCTGCTAGAAATACCGTGTTTTTACAACGAAACTTATCTTAAAGTATAAAATAAGTGCAAAGGTGTAAGTTTTTCAATAAAAACAGTGATAATACTATAATATAAACAGAAAAAGTGGCATAATAGAACTCAAGACGATATATATATGTATAGCTATACAAGTAACAATCACAGATCGGACTATTCACATTGATCAACATCCAGCATTTGATGACAGTTGACACAAGCGATTTAGTTACATGTGACATAAGCTTACCTGTATTGCCATCATAAAAGTGTGGCCATACAAAAAGCATAAATTAACAATAATAATCTAATATTAATTTAATAATAATCTACCAAAAATCCAAAATAATCCTACCAAATTAAAAAAAAACTACAATTGATCGTCTTCGACATGGATACGACAATCAAAGCTATACTGGATAAAATGGATGAAATGCAACGAGAATATCAAAAACAAACCAAAACCCTAACAGAAAGCTTTGCCCAGTTATCCGTCTCTATAGACAACAAATTGAAGCCTTTGGTGGAGGAAAATCAACATCTGAGAAACGAAGTTGTGTTTCTGAATAAAAAAGTATCAAACCTTGAACGCGATGTGAGAAAGAATAATCTGATTTTACATGGTCTGCAAGAAAAGGAAACAAATAATATGGAATTAATAGAATCCCTCATCACATGTCTCAATAATATTTACAAAGATACTGGACTTGACAACTGGGACAAATATGAAATAAGCAGAATACAAAGACTAGGAATAAAAGATAGTAATAAAACGCGTCCTATACTATTTACACTTAGGCTCGAATGGAAAAAAAACGAACTACTTCGCAACAAAAAAGAATTCCTAAGAAAATATACATAACAGAAGACTACCCAAAAGAGATTCTTAATATCAGAAAAGAACTAAAAGTCAAGCAGCAAGAAGAAATAAAAAAGGGCAAAATAGCTTTCATACGTTATGATAAATTAATAGTGAAAGACAAAAATCCAGTCGCCAAAGAAAATGAAAAGAAGAAGAGAACACCAACAGACTCGCCCAATCAGCAAGATAACACTAAACGAGGCGAGACAAGAACAAAAATCAATAAAACAAATCCATTAGGATTTACAACGCGACCAAGAACTAATTCAACTCCGAACCTCAACAACCAATGATATTCTGTACACATCAATAACCGAAATCGATCATATTTTGAGTAACCGTCCTAAAATATTTCATAATGTCAATGTTATCTCTCAGTTAAATTTCTATACCAATCATCGTATGGTCACAGCAACAATATCAAGCACACGTGAAGTAAAATGTAGGAAGAATTTCAGACAGCAAAATATTGTGAGCCGGCCCAACCAACTTTGACAGTTTTTAGTGGACCAACAACTAGTAACACAATTCAAGAAACATATAACAAGGAAAAAAACAATATGTACAAAACAACAAAACCTAAAACTACAAAAAATTAAACATTGAGTGCAACCACGAAATCACTGATTAAGGTCAGTCAAAGGCAACAAAAAAGATAAAACACTACTTATGGAAATTACCAGGATCAGCAAAGAAATAAGCAAAAGTATAAAGAAGGACAGAGTTAAGAAAAGAACTGAGTATATCAACCAACATATAATTAAAACAGGTGGGATCAAGAAAGCACTGAAGGAACTCTGAGAATCAAAATCATGGGTACCTGTACTAAAATACAAGAACAAAAAAACCGAGTGTAAAAGGAATATCGCAACTGGCTTCTACAGGAAATAGGAAATAGGACAGCTTGTATCATTTCAAGACCAGATGGCACAGGAATCGACAGAAGGATCGTTAATGCTTGGGAAAAGGTACTGGTCTCTAAAAGATATCATGAAGAATGCCCACTACACCATATCAGTGAAAAGAAAACTCTTTAACACATTTATCTTGCCAATAGTAACATATGGTTGCCAGATTTGTGCCATGACACAAGCACTGCAACCGACATCAGAAAACTCACAAAACTTGGGCAGGTCACGTCACAAGAGACGAAATAGGGAAGTGGACAAGGAAGACCACGGAATGGATCCCCAGAACGAACATTTACCGTAAACGTGAACGACAGCTGAAAAGATGGTCGATGAGGGTAGCTGGCCCGTTATGGCTGAGGTTATCAAGGGATAGATCGGGATGGAAAAGTCTGGAGGAGGCCTATGTGTCTGCAGGACACGCTGAATTATAAGTAAATGTTAATGATGTGTTTTTTATGTAATTATCAGCAATAAAGGCTTTTGTATTGGTATGTGAGAATTTAAAAAAAATTGATGATCATTTACATATTTCCCTTTAAATAAAGAGAAAAGTGTCGAAAGATTTAGAGAAGTTTCTACAAATTTGATCAGAACGCATCAGGTGACATAACGACTACATTCAACGGAGACGACTTTAAATTTTAGACTGAGTTAGGTTCCGATCAATAGGGCGGTGTAATAATTGCTCCTTGCCTAGCTAGGCGACACATTCACCCTTTCGATAGGGCCGTAGGTACGTAGTATATAGTTAAATTAATTAGTTAAATTTCCACACTAGACGTCTTTAATGTTGATAAAAAATTTGTTTATTTTGGGAATTTTTGATGGCTTCTAATTTTTTTTTGGAAACACAAGTTATCGAGCGTGGAATAAACGTTGCCCGCCTCCCTTCTTAACGCACGTTTGCTGACCTCCGTGGTCAAACGGTTGGTACGCCGGCTTTCCTGGTGTCGCCGACTCGAGAGGTCCTGGGTTTGTGTGATAAATACGAGCATTTGTATTTCAGTCATGGATGTTCAATATGTGTTTTATCCGTTACCCTATAGCACAAGCCTTACATTGCTTACTTTGGGGCTAGGCTAATCGGTGCGAGTGTTGTAAATATTGATCGGTTAATACCTGCACAGGTCGCGTGGCCCGCGCGGGGCGGGCGGGTCGCGCGTGGTCACTGCTAGCGCCGGCCGATGTACCGCACCTGCTGGACACCACGCTGTTCCTGGGCGCTGCTCTCACGCCTCCCGCGCAGGTATATATATATGTATATGTATATATATGTGGCATACATAGGGCGCGTGGTCACTGCTAGCGCCGGCCGATGTACCGCACCTGCTGGACACCACGCTGTTCCTGGGCGCTGCTCTCACGCCTCCCGCGCAGGTATATATATATGTATATGTATATATATGTGGCATACATAGGGCGCGTGGTCACTGCTAGCGCCGGCCGATGTACCGCACCTGCTGGACACCACGCTGTTCCTGGGCGCTGCTCTCACGCCTCCCGCGCAGGTATATATATATGTATATGTATATATATGTGGCATACATAGGGCGCGTGGTCACTGCTAGCGCCGGCCGATGTACCGCACCTGCTGGACACCACGCTGTTCCTGGGCGCTGCTCTCACGCCTCCCGCGCAGGTATATATATATGTATATGTATATATATGTGGCATACATAGGGCGCGTGGTCACTGCTAGCGCCGGCCGATGTACCGCACCTGCTGGACACCACGCTGTTCCTGGGCGCTGCTCTCACGCCTCCCGCGCAGGTATATATATATGTATATGTATATATATGTGGCATACATAGGGCGCGTGGTCACTGCTAGCGCCGGCCGATGTACCGCACCTGCTGGACACCACGCTGTTCCTGGGCGCTGCCCTCACGCCCCCCACGCAGGTATATATATATGTATATGTATATATATGTGGCATACATAGGGCGCGTGGTCACTGCTAGCGCCGGCCGATGTACCGCACCTGCTGGACACCACGCTGTTCCTGGGCGCTGCCCTCACGCCCCCCACGCAGGTATATATATATGTATATGTATATATATGTGGCATACATAGGGCGCGTGGTCACTGCTAGCGCCGGCCGATGTACCGCACCTGCTGGACACCACGCTGTTCCTGGGCGCTGCCCTCACGCCCCCCACGCAGGTATATATATATGTATATGTATATATATGTGGCATACATAGGGCGCGTGGTCACTGCTAGCGCCGGCCGATGTACCGCACCTGCTGGACACCACGCTGTTCCTGGGCGCTGCCCTCACGCCCCCCACGCAGGTATATATATATGTATATGTATATATATGTGGCATACATAGGGCGCGTGGTCACTGCTAGCGCCGGCCGATGTACCGCACCTGCTGGACACCACGCTGTTCCTGGGCGCTGCCCTCACGCCCCCCACGCAGGTATATATATATGTATATGTATATATATGTGGCATACATAGGGCGCGTGGTCACTGCTAGCGCCGGCCGATGTACCGCACCTGCTGGACACCACGCTGTTCCTGGGCGCTGCTCTCACGCCTCCCGCGCAGGTATATATATATGTATATGTATATATATGTGGCATACATAGGGCGCGTGGTCACTGCTAGCGCCGGCCGATGTACCGCACCTGCTGGACACCACGCTGTTCCTGGGCGCTGCCCTCACGCCCCCCACGCAGGTATTTGAAACTACTCCTTAAAGTCACAGCCCACTTACACGATTCTGCTCCAATACCGCCCTAAACTAGGGCGACTGCATGCAGTCCACGCGGCGACACTTAGCAGGCACCCAATCTACGCGCCGACAGCTAGCTGTCAGCGATGCCAACGAATCGCTTAGTAGATATTGAAAGAACGGTCTACTAGCAGTCAGCGCTTACACCGCGAAAACGGAAAATGAAAATGTTCTTAGAAAGGCTCGGCCTAGTATTCTGAGGAGTTATCCTCTCTTATCTCTCCTTCCCCTTTCCTTCAGAGGACCACGCGCGCTGGCCTACGTTGTCACCGTCGAACTGTGGCCACAATTCCAACGCGTACAAAGAAATTTGGTGACTCATTTCTTTGTCGCACTATCCGTAAATGGAATGCTCTGCCCGCTCACGTGTTCCCTCCCTCTTACAACCTGGGATCCTTTAAAAGAGGCGTGAAGAAGCAACATGCAGGCCGGCAGGGTGAGGATGGCTGGTGTGGCAGGTAGAACTGCTGTATCAGCTATCTTCGCGTCTGGACTTCACCTTCACTTAACATCAGGTGGGGTGGAGTAATTTGTCGGACCTACCTATAAAAAAAAAACCTCTCCCAGAGAAGATACGCTAATCGTTCGAGTTGCTAAAAAAGACGTCCAACCAGATTAAAAATGAAGTTTTTTCGCCTGATGACCCGAGAAACTCCTTGTCAAGACTGATACGCCGTAAATTAGTGGAAGTTAATTGTTTTTAAGAATAGCTCGAAAGGTATCGCTTCTTACCAAGCAACACCGAGAGAAGGGATTATTATTCGCTAAAAAATATGTTGATTGAACGATACCAGAATGAAAAACAAAGCGAGTGTGTTTATGACCACACAAAAACTTCTTTAGCTCCAATGACCTGAAAATCATAAAGTTAACCTGAAGATTTGTTGATAGAAAAAAACCACCAATCCGCGCTGGGTCCGTTATCACCCACCAATCCGCGTTGGGTCCGTTATCAGCCACCAATCCGCACTGGGTCCATTATCAGCCACCAATCCGTACTGGGTCCATTATAAGCCACCAATCCGCGCTGAGTCCGTTATCAGCCACCAATCCGCACTGGGTCTTTTATCAGCCACCAATCCGCGCTGGGTCCGTTATCATCCACCAATCCACACTGAGTCCGTTATCACCCACCAATCCGCGCTTGTTCCGTTATCATTCACAAATCTACACTGGGTCCGTTATCACTAAAGGATAAATCTAAAGAAGAAAAGAAGTTTACTAGAAAAAAATCCAAGCGGACCTTAAAAAATAAATAAAAACATAACTAAAGGATAAGTTTATAATTTTCAGATAATTGAACTAAAGAAGTTTTACTTCAGTCGTGTGGTCATAAGCATACTCGCTTTTTTTTTGTTTTTGTTTCTAATTAGTTGACAATTATTGTTTATACCTTAAAACTGATTCAAAAGTTTGTCCGTAATGTAATAATGAAACTGCATTTGTTATGTAAATGAATTTATATTGTTTTCCTAATAAATGATAAATCGTTGAATACATTGTTGATGATGTCCGTTGTTTTCAACTTGACGATTCTGTAAATGATGAAACAGGGAGAAAAAAACAGCCCTTGCTAAGTTTCATGCCGGTTCTTCTCAGTACAAGGTCTCCCGCCGTATATTTACGAACCGATGGCGGAGCTTCTAGACATTCATATGTGCTTGTAACAGCCTTAACTGAATAAATGATTTTGATTATGTCCTATTTATTGTTTAATTTCAATGTCAAATCCATTGGTAGTTTTTCTAATTATACGACCACCACTGTATATAGTTTTTTATGTTAAAAGTGTGGCAAACAGCCATAGTTCCGCCTGATGGTAAGGGGATGTTTAAGTATTACGTAAGCACTATAGGGGGGCAGGGGGGTCTTTGCTTTGCTTATTTTTGATGACATGGGGAGTGGGGGGTCGAGATGGTGATTACGTCAGCATCATCGATTAATCCTTTTTAGGTTTAACACAACACCACCAAAAGATAGTGTTATTTTACTGTGACTTTCTTAAGATAGAGATTACTTCCCCAGATCGTCTTACCTTTTGGAAAAGAGACCGAAATGGATCGACCCTAATATGATGATTTATGGTCGTAGGTATCGGCGACAGGTATGGGATGCCCCAGCGGCGTGTGGGGCGGGTTGCCGGGCGCGGCGCTGGAGATGTTGCAACAAGACGTCGCCAGGTGGGAGGCGCACTGTCCTGACGTCGTGAGTACTACACTACACTACACTACACTACACTACATATATCCAGCGGCGTGTGGGGCGGGTTGCCGGGCGCGGCGCTGGAGATGTTGCAACAAGACGTCGCCAGGTGGGAGGCGCACTGTCCTGACGTCGTGAGTACTACACTACACTACACTACACTACACTACATATATCCAGCGGCGTGTGGGGCGGGTTGCCGGGCGCGGCGCTGGAGATGTTGCAACAAGACGTCGCCAGGTGGGAGGCGCACTGTCCTGACGTCGTGAGTACTACACTACACTACACTACACTACACTACACTACATATATCCAGCGGCGTGTGGGGCGGGTTGCCGGGCGCGGCGCTGGAGATGTTGCAACAAGACGTCGCCAGGTGGGAGGCGCACTGTCCTGACGTCGTGAGTACTACACTACACTACACTACACTACACTACACTACATATATCCAGCGGCGTGTGGGGCGGGTTGCCGGGCGCGGCGCTGGAGATGTTGCAACAAGACGTCGCCAGGTGGGAGGCGCACTGTCCTGACGTCGTGAGTACTACACTACACTACACTACACTACACTACATATATCCAGCGGCGTGTGGGGCGGGTTGCCGGGCGCGGCGCTGGAGATGTTGCAACAAGACGTCGCCAGGTGGGAGGCGCACTGTCCTGACGTCGTGAGTACTACACTACACTACACTACACTACACTACATATATCCAGCGGCGTGTGGGGCGGGTTGCCGGGCGCGGCGCTGGAGATGTTGCAACAAGACGTCGCCAGGTGGGAGGCGCACTGTCCTGACGTCGTGAGTACTACACTACACTACACTACACTACACTACACTACATATATCCAGCGGCGTGTGGGGCGGGTTGCCGGGCGCGGCGCTGGAGATGTTGCAACAAGACGTCGCCAGGTGGGAGGCGCACTGTCCTGACGTCGTGAGTACTACACTACACTACACTACACTACACTACACTACATATATCCAGCGGCGTGTGGGGCGGGTTGCCGGGCGCGGCGCTGGAGATGTTGCAACAAGACGTCGCCAGGTGGGAGGCGCACTGTCCTGACGTCGTGAGTACTACACTACACTACACTACACTACACTACATATATCCAGCGGCGTGTGGGGCGGGTTGCCGGGCGCGGCGCTGGAGATGTTGCAACAAGACGTCGCCAGGTGGGAGGCGCACTGTCCTGACGTCGTGAGTACTACACTACACTACACTACACTACACTACATATATCCAGCGGCGTGTGGGGCGGGTTGCCGGGCGCGGCGCTGGAGATGTTGCAACAAGACGTCGCCAGGTGGGAGGCGCACTGTCCTGACGTCGTGAGTACTACACTACACTACACTACACTACACTACACTACATATATCCAGCGGCGTGTGGGGCGGGTTGCCGGGCGCGGCGCTGGAGATGTTGCAACAAGACGTCGCCAGGTGGGAGGCGCACTGTCCTGACGTCGTGAGTACTACACTACACTACACTACACTACATATATCCAGCGGCGTGTGGGGCGGGTTGCCGGGCGCGGCGCTGGAGATGTTGCAACAAGACGTCGCCAGGTGGGAGGCGCACTGTCCTGACGTCGTGAGTACTACACTACACTACACTACACTACACTACATATATCCAGCGGCGTGTGGGGCGGGTTGCCGGGCGCGGCGCTGGAGATGTTGCAACAAGACGTCGCCAGGTGGGAGGCGCACTGTCCTGACGTCGTGAGTACTACACTACACTACACTACACTACACTACATATATCCAGCGGCGTGTGGGGCGGGTTGCCGGGCGCGGCGCTGGAGATGTTGCAACAAGACGTCGCCAGGTGGGAGGCGCACTGTCCTGACGTCGTGAGTACTACACTACACTACACTACACTACACTACACTACACTACACTACATATATCCAGCGGCGTGTGGGGCGGGTTGCCGGGCGCGGCGCTGGAGATGTTGCAACAAGACGTCGCCAGGTGGGAGGCGCACTGTCCTGACGTCGTGAGTACTACACTACACTACACTACACTACACTACATATATCCAGCGGCGTGTGGGGCGGGTTGCCGGGCGCGGCGCTGGAGATGTTGCAACAAGACGTCGCCAGGTGGGAGGCGCACTGTCCTGACGTCGTGAGTACTACACTACACTACACTACACTACACTACACTACATATATCCAGCGGCGTGTGGGGCGGGTTGCCGGGCGCGGCGCTGGAGATGTTGCAACAAGACGTCGCCAGGTGGGAGGCGCACTGTCCTGACGTCGTGAGTACTACACTACACTACACTACACTACACTACATATATCCAGCGGCGTGTGGGGCGGGTTGCCGGGCGCGGCGCTGGAGATGTTGCAACAAGACGTCGCCAGGTGGGAGGCGCACTGTCCTGACGTCGTGAGTACTACACTACACTACACTACACTACACTACACTACATATATCCAGCGGCGTGTGGGGCGGGTTGCCGGGCGCGGCGCTGGAGATGTTGCAACAAGACGTCGCCAGGTGGGAGGCGCACTGTCCTGACGTCGTGAGTACTACACTACACTACACTACACTACACTACATATATCCAGCGGCGTGTGGGGCGGGTTGCCGGGCGCGGCGCTGGAGATGTTGCAACAAGACGTCGCCAGGTGGGAGGCGCACTGTCCTGACGTCGTGAGTACTACACTACACTACACTACACTACACTACATATATCCAGCGGCGTGTGGGGCGGGTTGCCGGGCGCGGCGCTGGAGATGTTGCAACAAGACGTCGCCAGGTGGGAGGCGCACTGTCCTGACGTCGTGAGTACTACACTACACTACACTACACTACACTACATATATCCAGCGGCGTGTGGGGCGGGTTGCCGGGCGCGGCGCTGGAGATGTTGCAACAAGACGTCGCCAGGTGGGAGGCGCACTGTCCTGACGTCGTGAGTACTACACTACACTACACTACACTACACTACACTACACTACACTACATATATCCAGCGGCGTGTGGGGCGGGTTGCCGGGCGCGGCGCTGGAGATGTTGCAACAAGACGTCGCCAGGTGGGAGGCGCACTGTCCTGACGTCGTGAGTACTACACTACACTACACTACACTACACTACATATATCCAGCGGCGTGTGGGGCGGGTTGCCGGGCGCGGCGCTGGAGATGTTGCAACAAGACGTCGCCAGGTGGGAGGCGCACTGTCCTGACGTCGTGAGTACTACACTACACTACACTACACTACACTACACTACATATATCCAGCGGCGTGTGGGGCGGGTTGCCGGGCGCGGCGCTGGAGATGTTGCAACAAGACGTCGCCAGGTGGGAGGCGCACTGTCCTGACGTCGTGAGTACTACACTACACTACACTACACTACACTACATATATCCAGCGGCGTGTGGGGCGGGTTGCCGGGCGCGGCGCTGGAGATGTTGCAACAAGACGTCGCCAGGTGGGAGGCGCACTGTCCTGACGTCGTGAGTACTACACTACACTACACTACACTACACTACACTACATATATCCAGCGGCGTGTGGGGCGGGTTGCCGGGCGCGGCGCTGGAGATGTTGCAACAAGACGTCGCCAGGTGGGAGGCGCACTGTCCTGACGTCGTGAGTACTACACTACACTACACTACACTACACTACATATATCCAGCGGCGTGTGGGGCGGGTTGCCGGGCGCGGCGCTGGAGATGTTGCAACAAGACGTCGCCAGGTGGGAGGCGCACTGTCCTGACGTCGTGAGTACTACACTACACTACACTACACTACACTACACTACATATATCCAGCGGCGTGTGGGGCGGGTTGCCGGGCGCGGCGCTGGAGATGTTGCAACAAGACGTCGCCAGGTGGGAGGCGCACTGTCCTGACGTCGTGAGTACTACACTACACTACACTACACTACACTACATATATCCAGCGGCGTGTGGGGCGGGTTGCCGGGCGCGGCGCTGGAGATGTTGCAACAAGACGTCGCCAGGTGGGAGGCGCACGTGTGGGGCGGGTTGCCGGGCGCGGCGCTGGAGATGTTGCAACAAGACGTCGCCAGGTGGGAGGCGCACTGTCCTGACGTCGTGAGTACTACACTACACTACACTACACTACACTACATATATCCAGCGGCGTGTGGGGCGGGTTGCCGGGCGCGGCGCTGGAGATGTTGCAACAAGACGTCGCCAGGTGGGAGGCGCACTGTCCTGACGTCGTGAGTACTACACTACACTACACTACACTACACTACATATATCCAGCGGCGTGTGGGGCGGGTTGCCGGGCGCGGCGCTGGAGATGTTGCAACAAGACGTCGCCAGGTGGGAGGCGCACTGTCCTGACGTCGTGAGTACTACACTACACTACACTACACTACACTACATATATCCAGCGGCGTGTGGGGCGGGTTGCCGGGCGCGGCGCTGGAGATGTTGCAACAAGACGTCGCCAGGTGGGAGGCGCACTGTCCTGACGTCGTGAGTACTACACTACACTACACTACACTACACTACATATATCCAGCGGCGTGTGGGGCGGGTTGCCGGGCGCGGCGCTGGAGATGTTGCAACAAGACGTCGCCAGGTGGGAGGCGCACTGTCCTGACGTCGTGAGTACTACACTACACTACACTACACTACACTACACTACATATATCCAGCGGCGTGTGGGGCGGGTTGCCGGGCGCGGCGCTGGAGATGTTGCAACAAGACGTCGCCAGGTGGGAGGCGCACTGTCCTGACGTCGTGAGTACTACACTACACTACACTACACTACACTACACTACATATATCCAGCGGCGTGTGGGGCGGGTTGCCGGGCGCGGCGCTGGAGATGTTGCAACAAGACGTCGCCAGGTGGGAGGCGCACTGTCCTGACGTCGTGAGTACTACACTACACTACACTACACTACATATATCCAGCGGCGTGTGGGGCGGGTTGCCGGGCGCGGCGCTGGAGATGTTGCAACAAGACGTCGCCAGGTGGGAGGCGCACTGTCCTGACGTCGTGAGTACTACACTACACTACACTACATATCGAGCCCTTACCGCCAAATTATCGTAAGCGACACTCGCCAAATTATCGTAAGCGACACTTTTGTCGAAATGCGTTTTTTGTGGAAACTAATATTTTAAACCGTAACGGACCCATCTCTGTTGATATTTCCCTCCAAAAGAACACCGTTATAATATAATAGATGGAAGAATAGAGGGAAATATCAACAGAGATGGGAAAACGCATTTTGACAAAAGTGTCGCTTATGATAATTTGGCCAGTGTCGCTTACGATAATTTGGCGGTAAGGGCTCGATATATTAAATAACTCAATATTTTCAACACACGCCAATTAACCTAATCCAAAATTAAGCACTGTAAGATTTGTGTTATCGGATGGTAAAGTCACGGATAGAATACATGTAAATACATAAATACTCATCAAAAATGTCTAAGTCACGTATTGTTTTGATTCAGAACTTTCGAACGATTTTTACCCCTGTAATATATTTAAAGTATACTATTATCATAAGTGGTTCGGCCTATATATAAGGGCTTTTACTCCTTATCGGTTGTTGTGTTTCTCAAAAACTTACCAGTTTAAAGGATTAGTAATAAACAGTAACATAGGAAAATGCGCAAAATTCTCCGAGCCTCGGCGCGAAAGCAACTTATCTGAAATGATATATTCCTATGATATTAAAAAATATAAGCCTGGTGTCTTTAATATTAGTTATACATATATATGGCGACCCGATGTTGTTATGTCTCTAGCATTACACAAAACGTAAGTATAGTAGGTTTTGATTCGGTATCTTGCATCTAAAAACATTTTCTTCATTGTCGATTAAAACTGTTTCTGAATGTCGATAGTAAAAATTTTTAAACTCCCGCTGTTTTAATATGTTCGCTACAATAAGACCACGATAGTTTCAAATGGTGCGTTCCGATTACAATCACAATTATATCTCCGTTTCTGATATTATTGTGATTGTAATCGGAACGCAATAATTCAAATAATTCAGGAAGTGTATCATGTACAAAAGTCTGAGACAGGTTTCGTTTGAGAGTATATTTGCGGAGCGGGGGTAGTTCAGCATGAAATTCGCGCATTCTTCTTTTAAATTGGGAATGGCGTCTAGTAAATATGGAATCGATTTTGTCTTTAGGAAGAAGCGGTTCGTACTTGCGGTCGCGCGTGGCAACAATACTCGCGGTGGCGCGAGCCCGCGTCGGCCGACTCCAACAAGCGCGCCAAGCTGCTGCAAGCGCCCGCCCACACGCATCCCTACCTCCGCGGCAACGACCACGCCGACCACGACGACAACGCGAATACGCTCGCAGATCTCATCAAGAACTATACGCCCAAAGGGGTGAGTTTTGGAAACTTTCAAACGATACGAACAAAACTATTTGCTATAACTAGGGTTTTATCATTGGATACTTTCCACCACACAAAGAGAGGAATTCGCCGATGCTTCTTTTTACTTTAACAAGAAACAAGTGAGAAAAGTGATTTGGAATGTAAAGAAAACATTTATTTATTTTATACACAATTAATTGACACAAAAAAAAACGATAAAAACTAGAAATGATATTTACTATACCAAAAAGACTTCCACTCAACAATATTGTCCAAAGCCTTTCCTTACATGAGGCATCAAAATTTGGTCCCGGAAATTAAAACATTATGGCGTAACATTGAGCCATCCTGGCTCGAAAGTTGGTGCAATCGTATGTAACCGCTAGGCTAGGACATAAACTGTTGATATTAATTATATAAATGCAGTCCTATCTTATGTAAATAGGAGTACCTCAGGGTTCCATTTTAGTTCCTGTCCTTTTAAATATAATGTTTATAAAATATGTACCTGTCTTTGTAAAATTTTAAATAGTAGAGATTGGAAAGAAAAATCTGAGCAATTGTGTTCTAAATTAATTTCGGAGTGTTCTGTGTTGCAATAAATAAACAGTATAATCTACAGAACTAAGCATTGCCACCCTTAGATCATCCCTATTAAATCGCATGTTTTTTTTATGTTATTGTCGATGAAGTATCTAACTCTGTAAGTAATAGAAATCTAATCTAAAATTTTTGTAATTGCTCATTTATAAATTGTATGTTTATAGACGATTCTGGAGCTGGGCGGCAAGAACGACTCGCCCATGTACATGGCCATGAAAGCAAAGAAACAAATTCACGGCAAAACTGTGCAGAAAGTGAGGGACATGAAGAAACTACAGGTAAATAAATTCTTATAATCCATCCATATTTGGAGTGCGGGTTAGCCGTTATAGGCACTTTGGGCATACCCAAAACCCTAGTAGATTTGTGACGTCACACTTTGACGGTCCATTGCGAGTAAAATAAGCATAAATTCAATCAAATTCCGTTGAGTAGTTTAGGCAATGTGAAGAAACACTTCTGTAATTTTGGTCAGCCAACCGACATTTTACAGGTTTATTAATCTACTGGTGTTTGCCCCATGATTTTGCCCGCGGCGAACTGTACATTGTACAAAATTTGTGTATTTAATTATTTATTTGACATACCATCGACAATTTCACATACTCCAATAAGGTTTTAAAAATGCAGGTATTACTCGACAGTATGAATAGGGGTGCTGACGGGTTACAGTAAACGAAATTCTATTTAGTCCGTCAGTTAGATGATCAAAAAATAATGGACACATATTTTTTCTTTGGGCAATCAACCAAAAAATGATAAAGTTATAGCGCGTCAAAGTTTGGGAGTAGGGGCTCGTGACGTCACTTTTGAGTGAATTTTCACTTATAAGTGTACTCAAACGTGACGTCACGCGACTTTTCAAATCAATATATCTCTGCAATGTTTATATTATATGAAAAAAGAAAAAATACGTGTCCAATACTTTTTGATAATCTACCTGATAAACGAAGAAAAAAAAATTAGTCATCATCGCTATTGCTGGTGCAGGCACGTACAACACTTATTATACAGGGTGTTACAAAAATACAAATAAAGCTTGAAGGGCGTTGAAGTACATCATATAAGGAGTCTTCTCTAATTTACTTAAAATATTTGCATGAAGTTTTAACTTTTTATAAAAACAGTTATTTTTAATGATCCTCGAACAAGTGATGTGTCTTAAAATGATCGATATTTTTATTAATCATTAAAATAACTGTTTTTATAAAAAGTTAAAATTTCATGCAAATATTTTTAGAAAATTAGAGAAGACTCCTGATATTATGTACTTCAACGCCCTTTAAGCTTTATTTGTATTTTTGTAACACCCTGTATAGGTACTTACATTTTTAACTATACAAATAATTAATGATCATAGCGAATACATATCGTACTCCGACTCCAACTTTGTCGATTTTTTGTTTGGTTGTGATCAGAACTTTTTGAGGCCTGGTGATATTTTGTAATAAATATTTATATATGTGATTTATCATTATTTAAATGATTTATTAAATTATTTGCTAACATTATCGTGTGTATTGCAGTCTGAGGGCAAATTCCTGGACTTGCACGTGGACGGGACTTCGAAGAAAAAGAAGAAAGAAATGGTTCGCGACGAGAACTATATCCCCCACGAGGCCAGCGATCAACACACAGAAATTGGGTAAGTTCTTACCTTATAAATGTATTAACATAACCTTACAATATATAATAATAATAATCACATAGATCCATAGCGGATTAGTTACAAACATACTATTTAAATCCAATGAAAATTTTACTAGAAATAAATCCACGTGGTTAAGGTAGGTAGGAGAGACTTGAACACGCACCTTCTGCCTTCCGAGCAGATGCACTGACCAATTGTACTACTGCGACCACAATGGGCGTGTTCAATTTCTTCTAGTATTCTTGGGCTGCAAGACAGCGACATCTCTTCGCATTGTAGGAACCCACAATGTCCAACGAATACCTTTATAAGTATTAAACTATAGTCTATTGTTTTCTTTTAATTAAAATATCTAGCAATTTTAAATAATTAAAAATATAGTAAACCATACAATATAATTATGTTGTATGTACCTACGCACCGTTCAACGTTGACGACGTCGTGACGTGGAGATGTGGACAGCCACTTAGATGTGGATACAACGAATTAAAAATAACATGCAAAACAAACGGCAATTTAACATTTGAGTGTGATAAAAACACACACAATATACTTATTTTTATTTTTAAACTTTATTAACCAAAATATAACATTGGTGCAAAAGGCGGACTTAATACTAAAAGCATTCTCTCCCAGTTCACCTTTGGGAAAAATGAAAAACACGAACGGCGGTATAAAGCTAAATACGAATATATATACAAATTAACATAGATACATACATAAATACATACTATAAAAACAATATAATACATACAAACAAAACACAGTAATGTTTAAATATATACAGTATACATATATATATATATATATTTGACGACCTCCGTGGCCGAGTGGTTTGTACGCCGGGTTTCATGGCTGTCGCCGACTCGAGAGGTCCCGGGTTCGAATCCCGGTGGGGGCAGATGTTTGTGTGATGAATACGAGCATTTGTACTCCAGTCATGGATGTTTATATAAATATACTTATATATGTACAGTATATGTATTCTATCCGTTACCCTAGCATCCCATAACACAAGCCTTATAGTGCTTACTTTGGGGCTAGGCTAATTGGTGTGAGTGTCGGAAATATTTATTTATTATTTATTTATTTATTTATTATTTTGTTATACATATATACACAAGATGATGATTAATAAAATGACACTTAAATTATATATGTACAGTATATGTATTGTATCCGTTACCCTAGTATCCCATAACACAAGCGTTACAGTGCTTACTTTGGGGTTAGGCTCTAGTTGGTGTGAATATTGGAAATATGTATTTATTCTTTAATTGATGTTGGTAGGATGGCGGTAAATTTGTCGTTGGGCGCCGGTCACGCGGAGCTGGAGCTGCGCGCCGATAACGGAGACGACGCGAGGCAACGACGCAATACCAAGCGGTGGGACCGGAAACGGAACAAGATGGTCTCCAACGATCCGGTCAGTATTGTTACGTGTCGGGATGGGGTTCCAAATTATATGCCAGTTCATGCTTGACCACACAGTTTACACAATTAACACACAATGTTAATCACAAAACACTCACTAAACACTGTATTTCACTATACAAGTCTCTAAACAATCGCACTTGAACACTTTTGTTGCACTTTGATCGCGTTTGGATTCGCTCCGATATCGCTGTTGAAACTCGAGTGTCTCTGCGCGGCGCCAATCGCGCTTATATACGCCGATCGACGCATTCTAGAAACCTACCTGTACCTGTTAAATTGAGAATTACCTAGCACTCGCGAGTACAAAGCACCTACTTATACCTACGCAGGTAACGCGCATAACTTGTAAACAAGTGCAGATGTCGTTGCACTTTTACCCTTACGCCGCACTGCATAAAGCTCATTTTAGAATGGGCCGCATTACTCGACCTCTATCGCGACCCGCGGTGATCTGGCAAATTCGATCTCTGGCACTTTCGCGGTTACGTTTCGAGAGCGTTTGTGACAGTATCATATAATGTAAAGTCTGTTCCAAACGAAGTTAGACCAAAAGTAAACAAACACTTCACCTCCTAACTCCCACGCAATGACTCACTAAATTGATTTCTCAACACATTTATTTGCATTTCTAAGGGTTTGACTTATTAATTTACTATCTTTTATAGTGTTAATTTCTTTATCTTTATATATATAATTCTTCTGTGAGTGTGTATGTCACTGAACTTCTCTTAAACGACTGGACCGATTTTGATGAAATTTTTTGTGTGTCTTCAAGGGGATCTGAGAATGGTTTAGATTCACAATTTTGTCCGCTGGACAACCCCTTTTTTTTTTAGGGCGGTACGAAGTTCGCTGGGTCAGCTAGTAAATATATAAAAAATAAAAAATGAGTCGAAAAGTAAGTAAGTTTTGAAAGATGAGAATTGTCTGTTGTCTATGGTTGTACAGTGTTGCACTGAAAATCTCTTCAAAATGAATTTAACTGACGTTATAGAGTGCATCGGCTTTCTCTTGTAAACCGTAATCCTGGCTGAACAATTTTGGAGTTTACTCCTTAAGAATCGATTTGCATATATAAGGGGCCCGGTATGAGAAAAATGTGAGGAGTTAAATCTATTGATGAATGACCTCGTTACGTTTTTGATGCGCAACTTGTTCGAGCCAAAATGACTCTGAAATCCGAGAGCTTAGGTGCAAAAGAATTAAATTGAAACTACAGTGTATTTTGTTAGACCATAGATTTCTTTATTAGTTAGGTGACGTTTTGCCTATATGTAGCTCCAAACATATTTACAAGCGTGGTGCAATGAACTACAGCGCCATCTATTTTGATACATATGAACTAAAATTTTAAATGCACAAATGGTGTATTCATAATCGCCCACCAAGGACAAACTGATTTAATTAATATTTAAAAAAATGATAATAGTCTGATAATAATAATTACATAATTTATCAACATACCTAATGATATATTTATGCACATCTGGAATTGACTATTGTAAAAAGTTTAACGTAAAATATTTCGTCGATTAGTTATAATAAATGTATATGAAATCAATAAATATATATTTATATATTTATATTATTTTCAATAATTTGTTAATTTACCCTTTCATACAGTATCAATCTTTTTTAAGTTAAATAAACTCTTTTTGCGCCCGGTTAGACTATCGAACTTAAAGAGTAAATTCCAATCGTGCGTCGGAGCTGACAGACACAATTTTTTTCCTGTTTATCTTGTCAGGGTGTTTATAGCAACTTTATATTCATAAAAAAAATGCTGTCTTTAGACTAATTTTTCTCTTATAAAAAACTTTCCACAGGAGGGCGGTCGCAAAATGATTCGCACAGAGAGTGGGGCCCGCGTGCCGGCCTCGTATCGCAGCGGCCGCTACCAGGAGTGGTGCAAGCGGAACGTCACCGCCTGCCACCAGCACCAGCACCAGCCAGGGGGGGACACGGAGCAACACCAGGGGAACGGGAGGAGGCCAGGTCACTCACTCATATATACAGGATGTTACAAATAAAGCTTGAAGGGCGTTGAAGCACAGCGGTGACACTCTCTGTACGTGAGAGTTCCAGCGTCAGTGACCTAGAGCAGGAGCGTGTATGCGCTAGGGTTGAACTTGGAATTTAGACTTGTGCCAATGAATATTTATGCATAGTAAATTATTAAATGTAAACTGATTCAAGGATACTGGGGTAAATAATGAAAAATAGGTTTGATTTTATAATCAATTTTTAATCTTTTAATGTAGGTACTATAACAAATTGCTAATTTTTATATATTTTCTCCTTTTTCGATTGGTTTTATAATTCTTATTATTATCTAAATAATAATAAGATTGCGTAGCGTAGTCATTCTGTGCGTGCAATGCAGTGCAACGCTATTATTTTACTATTTGGCTACTGCCATGCCTTCGGTCGAGGCAGTCGGCGACTGCCCTCTCCACGTCCCGCGCGCCTCCAGACACGCACACATAGCCGCGGGCGATTTTACGAGCACACATGCGCATGCTTAAGTGTCGCTTCTTTTCGCGTAGTGTATATATTCTGTGGTTGAAGTACATCATAACAAGGAGTCTTCTCTAATTTTCTTAAAATATTTGCAAGAAGTTTTAACTCCTAGTAAGGTGCAAGACCTCGAACTGGTGACGTGTCTCAAAATTATCGATATTTTTATTTATCATTAAAAATAACTGTTTTTATAAAAAGTTAAAACTTCTTGCAAATATTTTCTAATGTGCAGTACATCCATGAAAGATAACTATAGTAATGATTAAATCTACAAAATTTTGTAGTAAAACTTTCTTATTTAAACATCTAGCACTTAAATGCATAAAAAATCAAAAATAAAACTTTAAAATAATGTTTCAGTGTCGGAATTCCGCCCCCACTGGATGAAGCACAATGAGCGCGTCGCCGCGAAGAAGGCGGAGGCATCCTCGAAGGAGTTCCGCAACAAGCAGCAGATCGTCAAGGAACGGCTCCGGAAGGATAAGATCAAGCAGAAGCTCAAGCACAAGATGAAGTCCAAGAAAAAGAAGAAGTAATCTGTAATAAAAATTATGTGTATATACTTTTGTGTATTTTTTTTCACAGAACCTTTCACCTTATAGATATCAAACTTTACCAAAAAAACAATCGAACTAATCGATTAGAAGGTCGCTATCTCGCGCTCACTGCATTTCCACCTAATAGATAATAGCCAATCAAACAACGCGACATCAAACAATGGAACCAATCGGCGCTCACAACCGAGAGCAACGACGCAATCAAAATCAAGTTTTTGTCAAGTTATGATTATACGTTTGCTCACACAACTGTGGCGCGGCTGCCCTGCCCACAAGGTCCTTCTTACCTCATTCTTTGTTCTGTGCTTTTTTGAACATTATTCTCATTACCTGATTTTGACCTACCCTCTATCTCTTTGACTTTCTCTCTAGTGACCAGTCTAAAAATAAAAAGCCTACTTCCTACAATATATCCTATCAATATTATAAATGTGAAATTTTGTCTGTTTGTTACTCAATCACGCAACAACTACAGAACAGATTAAATGAAATTTGGTACCTACGGATATAGTTTATGACCTGCCCCCCTAGCATGAGCACCGCGATATGATATAATACTCGTTTTTATCACGCTCAAGTGTCAAATTACTATGGAGTTTGACAGTTAGACGCGATAAAAAACGTGATATAACTTAAGTTGAGATGCTCATGCTACGGGGATATAAAAAAATGCGAAAAAATACTTACTGTACAGGTATACAGTACAGTATTGTTTGGACAGGTATCTAACCTAATTTGAAGTCAATTTTAATGTAATACTTACTATAAACTGATTTAATATAAAATATTAGTGATATTCAAATGCATGGTCGGTTATACGTCGCCATATAGCCGTCTCTTTTCCTCGCGGTCCGTGCCTGCTATATTGCTAACAGCGCGTTCGGAATTGAGCGTACAGTCAAAGAACTAAGGTCTAAATTTTCCGCATATAGCAATAAGTCTTAAAATTTTACAAGCTTGCATTTCGAACTGTCAGAAGTCCTTGACACATGCGTTTTATTTAAGACCTTATACAGTATGTATTAAAGGTTACTTTCAATATTTAAATAATGCCTTATATTGATTTTGACTACGCGATCATCTTACGGAGCACCCTGGATCGTTCAAAGTACCTTTTGGACAGGTTTCGGGCACGATTTTGTTGGTGTTGGTGTATCCAGGGTATTTAATATCGTTGGTGAAAACCTAGAAAACAAATATGGGCTTTACGTTACCCAATTTTAAGGGCCCAATCAAAAGTGTGGGCGTGGCCTCTAGCTAGGGTGGTAACAATTATTACACCGCGCTGATCGCCCTAGATCGGATCCCTTACTCCCTAACTCATATAACATCACCCTTAGTTACGGCAAGGCTCCCTTAAAATTGGGTAGTGTAAGTCCCCCATTAAGATTTACATTATTTCTTTACAAAATAACAAGTGAAATAGCGTTCCTGTTACCTTTAGGTATATATTTTCCTTGAGCATTGCATATTAAATTTGATAATCATATAAAAAACATGTGTCCACATAAAAATACAAAACTCGCCTGTACAGACTTTGTATCCTTTGGCTTGCTGTTATTAGAAATTTATCCATAAAAAAGTAAAAATAAAAAACAAGATGTCGTTTTTGACGATAAGCAATCGACTTCTTTATTTTTGTGAAATTTGTTTCTTTTGTTAAGTCTGCTCATATTATTCCGTTTAAATTATTTCAAGTGTTTTCTTTTGTGTTTTACATACAGAACCCAAACATTTCGTTCGCCGTTTTTTGTAGGACAGAGGACTATACTGGGTCTACATTTTGTATTGAATTATAATTTGCTTTTACTTTTCACAAACGATAATTTGTTTTCTGCTATGATAAATTTATAACAAGTGCATAATTTTACACAAGTTTTTTAACGATTCGTTATGGTCAGCGTGTAATAATAATTGTATTTGGACGCCATGTTGGCAATGTTGTTATTTACCCTTTGATCTTGTACGTACACGGTGGAATTGTTTTATGTTATGTATAAAAATTGTGCACCCACCACCGTAGTGTGAGCATGTTGGAAGATGTGCCTGTCCATGGAAGTCGCTGCGAGCAAAACATCGCAAAAGCCCCAATGCATCAAAGAAATTTCAGTTTGGACTTCAGGTAAGTTTTGATTGACACAATAAATCCTTCACAATCATTGAGATACGATCAAAATCAGATAGCAACATTCGTTAGTAAAAGTATATTTGTATAGTAGCAGTGTTTTTACCAATAGGTGCCCCCTTTTCGCTGAAAACAGCAGTCAAATTTATAAACATCTTACCTACCTATCTGTGAGCATTTGTTAACACCTGAAACTGAAATTCCAAGATAAATGAATTATAAATTGTGCTCTGATTGTATAACTACATCATTGCACTCTGGCTTTGTTTATATTGTTAAGGGTTTCATACCTGACAAGTTAGAAAAAGAAACCACTCACAGGATCAATTTGTTATCTGTCTGCCAAGACCTTTTATTTTTGATAATTTTATCCATATACTCAAGTTAAAAGTCCCTTGAAGCTGTGAAATAATCAAACTTCTGAGTTAACATTAAAAAGATACAGATGTTTATCTATTATTTATAATATAAGAACTTCTAGGTCAGGTTTATGATAAAACCACCAATTTAAGTAATGAATGGTAAGAAAAAAATAACATTATAAATACGTAGATATGCAACTGTCAAGGCTAACTTACATTATAATGAGACTGATCATTAAATGAGGAAAAACATTGAACTTTTTTTTTCAATAAGTTAATTTACAACCTATGTAAATTATATTGTTATTAAATCCCTTGTATGGATTGAATAGCAGAAAATGATATAATACCTAAAACCACATCTTTTACCTGTTGAAGCAGAAATTGATGATTTTCCTTCCCTTTCATATTTTTGTTTATAGTCATAATAAATTTAAATCAATGCTGCTATTATCCATTTCAATAAAATTAACACAGTGACTAAAATGAAAAAAAACCAAAATTGATTAAAATACAAAATATTAGACTTATGCATTCCACCTGACCTGATAACAGATACTCACCATCAAAATGTTTTTGGTTTTGTCAATCATTCATTTATAGAATGGAGGAAGAATACTTTCATCTTTTTAGGGTTCCGTAATCCTGACAATGAACCCTTATAGTTTCGTAATGTCCGTCTGTCTGTCTGTCCCTGGTTTTACTTGGAGACTGTTAGCACTAGAGAGCTGTAATTTTCTGGAAATAATATGTATATCAATGATGCCATCAAATTGGTAGAATAAAATTTGTAAAAAAAAAAATTTTTTCTTCAATAATAATTCAATAATAATGAAAATTGAGAGGGGCATCGTTGAATAGGTCCTTTAAAATTACTTAGGGGTTCCTAAGACTATTTTACAAGTTAAGGATCTGTTTGCGAAATATCGAACTTTAAAGTGCTAATTCAAATTAAACTAGTTTTTACGTATCATCAGAATAATCATTATTCAGACCTGACATGCAGACCTGAAAAGGCTGCAAACGTCAAGAAATAAATAAATTTAGTACATTAACCCGTAAAAACTAGTTTTATTTAATGAGTGATGTGCGTGAAAACCTAAGAAACAAAAATGTGCTAATTCTTGTTGTAGTAGGGCACCATCACCATCTAAAAGCTAAACTATTGGCTTCGAGAACCTGGAAAAAATCATGATAATAGTGCTTAACAAACTTTTAAGGAAAATCACAATGGTTAAGATAGATTTGTTAGTTTGAGAGTAATGTCATTCAACTTTGGTTAAAGAAAATTTCTTACTTATTGAAAATTCCTTAGAAAAAAATATTAATAGTTATTGTAGCATAAAACATAGCATTGAAAAACAAAATCGTAAAAAGCTTTTAAAATTTGTTTTTTTTTATCCTGCTCAAACATATTGTGGTAACGAGAGGCAACTATAGGAACCCTACACTGCACGTGGCACGACACGCACTTTGCCGGTTTTTTTTCATGATCATATCAGATGATCTTATCTTGAGTACTAAGTGTGGTTTCTATTCAATTATAAAAAAATGTTAGAGTTAGGAGTGATTTTATTGCAGTGAGTATTCATAATACAACTGTGATAGGGAATATGTGTCATGGTGGAACCAGCAGCAGATCTCCTAGTCTTTACAGTAGCAATGTCCCATTCCTGTCATTTGACATTTTCACCTTCAAAAGTTTGATGACACATAGGCAGATGAAATCACAGGCATCCACTTGTCGTCATGCTAGCGTTCGCGCAACGTCAACGCGACGTCGGGCTACCGAACTCCGGCTTACGCAGTGCTGGCGTCGCGTCAACGTCAACGCGACGTCGTGAGTTGAACAAAACGTTGGATTGACGACGTAGCGTAGACGTTGCGCGGACGCTGGCACGACTACGAACCGCGAAAGATGCTGGTGTGGGGTTGACAAATTTCAGCACTAGAGACTACTGAAACATCTCAGTATTTATTAGCTTGCTCCTTTTAACTCGATTCAGAGACGTTTTATGAGGATTGTCCATAATGGGATTATGGACAATCCTCATAAAACGTCTCTCATATACCTGACCTAGTAGTTCTTATATTATAAATAATAGGTAAACATCTGTATCTTTTTAATGTTAACTCAGAAGTTTGATTATTTCACAGCTTCAAGGGACTTTTAACTTGAGTATATGGATAAAATTATCAAAAATAAAAGGTCTTAGCAGACAGATAACAAAGTGATCCTGTGAGTGGTTTCTTTGATGCGTTATTGTTTGAGCCTCAAATCTTGGGAGATATTCTGCTTGTAAGCGTTCTAAGTAGCGGTACAAGTCGATGAAAAGCCCGTTGGCGAGACACCACATTCAGTGAATATTCGGTATTTTATTTTAAATGAAATTGTGAAATAAACCTCTCATCGTTTTCTCTTGGTTATTAGAACAGGGTTCTTCAAAAAGGACGTCATAATAATTTTATAGAGCAGGCAACAATCGAGTTATGCTTTTGTTATTACAAGTAAAGTATA